GTACAGTCCCGTCGAACGCCCGGGCGCCTGAGTTCAGCGCTAAATCAGAGCCGACCTGCGAGGCGCGCCAGCAGTACCGCCGTCACCCCCATGGCGCAGGCCAGCAGCGCCAGCTGCATCATCAGCCCGCCGGGCAGCAGGGCCAGCGCGGCAAGCGCGGCGAGCGCAGCATTGTGGCCGGCGATGAGGGCCGCAACCCGCATCGGTGGGACGCCGCGATCGGCCGCCTGCTGATAAAAATGGCAGCGATGCGCCTCCCAGATGCGCTCCTTGCGCAGCAGCCGGCGGCACAGGGTGATGCTGGCGTCGGCGCAATAGTACATGGGCAGGATCAGGGCCGCCACCAGGGCGCCGCCCGCCGCCACCAGAAACAGCAGCCAGGCGGTGACGAGGCCAATGGCCAGCGAGCCCACATCGCCCAGAAACAGCCGCGCCGGTGGGCGGTTGAACGGCGCAAAACCCATCAGGCCGCCGAACAGCGCCGCCGCCACAAGGCCGAGCATGGCGGCGTCGGCGCCGCCGGCGACCCCGCACGCGCCAAGGACCACCATGGCCATAAGCATGGGGGCGACGCCAGCCACGGTCAGCCAGTCCAGCCCATCCATGAAATTGGTCAGATTGACGAACCACAGGCCGGCGACGACCTCGAGCCCGCGCTCAGCCGCCAGCGGCAGTTCAGGGGCAAGGCGCGCCTCCGGGCCCAGCGCGCCCAGCGCAAAAACCAGCGCCGCCGTCTGGGCGGCGAGGCGCGGAATAACCGGCAGTGGCCGAATGTCGTCGACAGCGCCCAGCAGCCCGATGAATACGGTGGACAAGGCCAGCGCGCCGGCCATCGGCCACTGCTCTGGCTTGAGCCAGGCGAGGCCGCCGGCCAGGCCGAGGGCGAGGAGGCAGCCGGCGATCACCGCGATGCCGCCGCCCTGGGGGGTGGGAATGCGATGGCTGGAGCGGGCGTTGGGGCGGGCCAGCGCATAGCGCTGCAGCAGCGGCCGGAGCACAATGACCAGCGCGCCGGATATGAGCGCAGCGACGACAGCGATGGTCAGGGTTGCGAGCAAGCCAGTCTCCTGCGTGGCGGATCTTGCTGGCGACGCGCGCCTTTGTCCGCCGGGCGCTTTGCCCGCGCGCACAACGTCCGCCGCAACGCTCCATTACAGGCGTCGTGGGCCGAGGGAAAGACGCAAGAAACAGGGAAGGAACAAACTCAGACGCAGATCTGTCAGCGGCGCCGAGGGGGGAAGGGGATGGCGTGCGCGGAGCTGTCGCCGCCGCGCCACGCAACTGCCCGAGGGCGCAAGGCCAGCTGTCAGCCGGCCCCAGGTGGCGCCGCCGCATGCCGCGCGGGCGTTCTGCGGCGTCTGCGACAGTCAGAGGGGCGCTGTGCCTGGGGGATTGTCAAACCCGCACGACGCCTGAGCTTTTCACGCAGCCCAGGCATGGGTGTTAGCGCGGCCGGACGTCAGCCGCGCCCAGGGTAGCGCAGGGTCAACCCGTCGCGGGCGATGAATGAGCTAGGCGCCTCGGCCCCGAGTTCGGCCGCGATGGCGTCGAGCTGGGCGTCGTCGCGATCGGGATGCAGGTGGAACATGGCCATGGCGGCGGCGCCGCCCTCACGGCACAGCCGCACGCCCTCGCGCCAGGTGGAGTGGCCCCAGCCGATGCACCGGCCATATTCCTCTTCGAGGAACATGGAATCATAGATGACAAGGTCAGCGCCAGCGACAAACTGCCGGAGTTCTTCGGGCGGGCCGTCTGCGGCGTGCTCAATGTCGCTGATATAGCAGACAGCGCGGCCGTCGCAGTCGAACCGGTAAGCCGTGGAGCCGGTGGGATGGTTGAGCAGGCAGGTGCGCACCTGGAGCCCCTGCACTTCAATGGTTTCGCCAGCCTGAAAACCGTGATGCACGAAGCGCGCCGGCAACATCTCCAGCGTCACCGGAAATAGCGGCGGCTGATACATGGCCAGCAGGCCCTGCGCCGCGCTTTCCCCATTGAGATTGCCGCACCAGGTGTGCACCGTGCACTGCGGATTGAGGGCGGCGCGAAAAAACGGCAGGCCCCCGATATGATCGTGGTGCAGATGACTCAGCAGCACATGCACGTCATCGTCCGGGTGAGAGGCCCCAGCCGCTTGCGCATGATCTGAGGCTGCCTGTCCGGCGCTATTGGTGCAGCTGAACTGCTCCAGTCCCAGAGCAATAATGCCAGTGCCAGCGTCGATGATGAACCGCTTGCTGCGGGCTGAAACCTCCACGCAGGGCGTGTTGCCGCCATAACGGGCAAAATTCGCGCCGCACACCGGGTGCGATCCGCGCACGCCCCAAAAGCGCACGCCGAGCCCAGATGCTCCGTCGTCCGCCTGTTCTCCCCGCGAAGATCCCAGAGCAGCCTGGGTAAGCGATGCCTCAGCCA